CGTGTGAGAAAAGTGGTCAATAAAGAGATGCTGAAAAGCGTGTTCATGCAAACATCGTCGGTCTGCCGTGATATGTTTACAACGGGACTTCTGCTCCTGAACTTTTGCGCACAGCGTCTGCAAATCGGGGCTGTACGAAGTCACTTTCATCTTTACGCAGGACTGTAAGCTGTCGTCTGTGAGGCGTGAGCGGTGTTTGTTTTTAACATAGTTCACGGTGGAGCTGCTGACATAATGTGGATCCGAAGATCCATAATTGGCCTGCCTGGGGTTGAAAGTCTCGATAAATCCATGGCGTTTCGGCGGGTACACCGGCTTCTGTGAGTGTGACGCTTATTTTGAGCGATGAAAAAATAATAAAATATAATTTCATTTTTATATTTCAATATCACAATAAACTTCCAATTTAGAAATACAAGTTAAAAAAAAAAAAACTAACATAAATAAAATACACTTTAGCAAAATACTTCTAATTTATTTTCCCAAACCACGCGGAGCCGCACTAGAAGGACTAAAGAGCCGACCAATGGTTTAAGATATTTGAGAAAAATATATGTGATGTAATTTCAAGGTGCTGCTGACCGAAAGAGTTATAATAACACTAGAAATGTTATTAGAAAACACTGGATATATGTGGAGACCAAACATCACGTCTCATACAAACTTTGCCTACTATAAATGAACACAGTGAGACCAAATGGAAAAAGGAGGTTTGTTTCAGTTTGAGTGTCTGAAAAGGTGTGTTTTATTGTTCCTTGAATCCACCTCACCTCTGCTTGAATGGCACGTGCATAGTTGATGCACTGTTATATAATAACTGAGGGCAAAGCTTGTGTGAGCACAGAAAATTTAAGGGGACATGGATGTGTGCACATGTTCATCATCGGATGAAGAAATTTACAGTAGTCAGTCTTAAGTTAGAGATAGAACTTTATTAATCCCTCGGGTGGGTTCCTCTGGGAAATTCCTTACCAGACTGGTACAGGTAAGTATGATTGGTCTAGGTAAACTAAAGGGGACGGGTCTTTAACTTATCTGATGAAATTTCACATATTTTTGTATCATTTATGACCATTTGTTGACCAAACTTTAGTCGTAGCGTTCCACAGGGTTCTGTGCTAGGACCAATATTTTTCTCATTATACATGTTTTCTATGTCACAGAAACACTGCACATATTTTGATTTCTTTGACAATGATACACAATTAGATTAGGAAATTCAGAAATGAGTAAACTACAGGCTTGTCTCAAACAATTCAATTCCTGGATGACCTGTAATTTTCTGCTTCTACATTCAGACATATTTACACAAAGAAAGCTTTGAAATGACTACTGAAGTCTGTTGATTTTATATATATAAAAAAAAAAGACATTTATATGTGCGTCACATCAAGAAAGTTTCACATCACTAATTTGCCAATGCACTTCTTCTACAACTTCTCAACCACTACATGATGTTTTGCTGTGGAACACTATTAACAGACCTAGAGAAGTGAGAGTTACTGCTGCAGCACGCTTCATTTTGAATTTATCTGCACAAAATATTTGAAATGTTACAGTTACAAGCAAGACGTTTGCTTATATATCGTTTTACACAGCATAACGAAAATAAAGGACGAACAAACAGCCTGACTACAATGACTTGATTCAAACTTGTTATTGATCAGAGTAAAGTTCATCCTGTTTTTTTATTAAAATGATACACTCGTACCGCAGTACATGCAATACGTTTATGTACATATAAATGAAATGTAATCTTCTTTGAAGGTGATGTGTGTTAACGCATTTTCTATAGAACTGATCCAAGCCCATCAAAAGCCATTAAAGAAATATTTCAGTATAAAATATAAGAGTCATAAACGACCCAACTTGGTACTTTCAGTTCTTAAAAGACTCCAGAGTTTTATTACAGTGTACTACTACCAAGTTTTGGTACTCATTCCCATCTTTTAAAAATAAAAGTGAAGCTGAAATATGAGTGACACTCTCTCACTGAACTGGAAAGGTATGTGCATGCTGTAAATACAGTGGCGTCGATACTGACGATACTTTTTTCAGAAACCTGTTTATGTAACCTACGTACAGCATTTATCCATCTATCAGTATCACTCCACAGGAAAGACCTGCACACTGGGTGTTACAAGGAATAAAGTGGCCCGTGCTGCTGCTGTGCGTCAGCTCTCTGTCATTTCAAGTATTATTACTTTGGGGAAGTGAAAAAGTTAATCGTGTTATTTAAGACTACTCACCGTAGGAACGTATTCAGAGGGAAACTTGTTCGTCGTGTATGAGATGAGCAGGCATGTCTTTCCCACTGCACCGTCACCCACCACCACACACTTTATAGTTTGCATCTGAGGAGGAGAAAAGTAGAAAACCTTCTTATTAAAACAAACACAATCTCCATCTGTGTGTTTGTTTCTTTATCCCTGAACTGATCCTAAAACCACAAGGAGCTAGCTGCCAAACCTGGCACACAGGTACACCTTAGATCCCTGAGGTGTTCCTATGTATGTCATATATTTAAACGTCATCATGTTGTCTAGTAACCACCTACCAATGGGCTGATATGGCTCATTTATCGCATTTTTGCACCTTACAGAACCTTATAAAAATCACCATATCATTTTTATTTCACACAAAATTTTATTTTTATCCACAAAATTGAACTGTGCACCGATATAATGCACCTACAACACCTTATGAAAACACCTTGTTTTAATTTCATGATAAAAACACCACATTTAAATCCACAAAAGTTAGCATAGTAGCATAGTGAGCATATGCTGGTTAAGAAAAAAGGACATATCAGTAACTAAGTGTACAACAGAGGTGAGACAGGGAAGTGGGGTCTCTGGAAGACTGCTGGAATGACAAAATAAGCCCCTGACAGACCTTAATCAGGTGTTTGTCCATAATGAAAGTAATTATATATGTTATACATAATGGAAATCACTCGATGAGTGTTGCCTTTAAGACAAAAGCAACTTTTTGAGACAATCTGTACCAAGTCTAAAAGGATCTATGAGAATAATCTAAGGTTTAATCTACTTGAATCACTGAGAATGAAAGTATTAATAGGCTGTAGTTGTACTTCAGTCATTATCAAACTGAGCATCCGGTGCAACTGCTACATTTCAGGGGCTTTCCATAAGCGAGGTGATGCCCTGCTCTTGTTTCTGCACCTCCCACCAATGCTTCATGTGCAGAAGGGTAACCATGGCAACATAACTGTATACAAACAAGCCTTGACAATATGAGACAAAAGATTTCAGTCATTACAGTCGATGCTTATGACACAATTTCCAGTTACTTTTAATTAAGTTTTAGTGCAAGCAGACGCAGCTGCTCTGTAACAGGTTGATTTTATACAGAAGCAAATAAATGTGAGAAAACGACTTCTCCAACCACCCTCTTAATCAAATGATTTTTATCTACATGTAATTTCCACACAACTTTAGTATATCAAATGAAGTCATGTATAAATTTTAGCTTCATACTGTGAGTGTTTTCCAAGTTGCAGGCCCTCAAAGTAGACAACGGGCTATATTTTGTGTCGTTTCATCTGTATTATTTTTTCACCTTATCTTCAGGGCTAAAAAACACATTTAGGTGTTGTTAAAAACATCACTCAAATCAATCAAGTGTCCAAATCTCATGCCAAAATTTTGTTTGAGAATTGTTTTTTAACTTTGAGCACCAGTTTAAAGGGATATATCACCAGCAAAATCTCACACAGTAATGTCAGTAGGCATTGTTACACTGGCTCTTTGGTCTGTTTTCTTATAACTCCCCTGGACAAAACCTACATGCATTTCTGGACAGCTTTAAGGGTCATATTAACATGCAAGATTTTCTATGTAGTTATGTTTTGATACTATGCTCAACTTGCCACTGTGTTGTGTCAAGTAAGAGGGCGAAGCATTAACTAATTTACTATGTATAGATGCTTATGGGTGATCAAAATGTAGATTAAATTACTTTTCCAAACACCTGCTCAGTTGCAGGTTTAAGAATTATTAAATGGTTTTTATGCCCTTTTTTCCCTGCCTGTTTGCATCAGGTGATATGAAAATGCGGAGTCAGTATGAGACTGGCTGATGGAAACACTGCCTGGTCTGTGGCGCGATGTTTACTACACAATGACTAGAGAACCTGTGACCTCTCTGATGCCGAGCAGCTCTCATACCCACTCTGCGGCTTCATTAAGAAGGACAATGGTTAGAGGGCTATGGCCTGCCACTTCATCACTGGCTCTTTGTTTGGGTAAATTTGCAGTGCCAGAATTCAGCTGAACTCTGATGAGTCAGAAACAAGGTGGCCAGTCATTTGCAGGCATGAAGACACCAGTTATGTCTGCAGAATTCATTTGTCAGCAAAACATAGTTTTGGGAAATTAGCGCTAGCTGAGTCTTTTCAATGCCCCTTTCTGCCCCAGTTGCATCCAGATAATTTTCATTACAGGGCTCATTTCTAAAACCCTAAGCATTTTAGCTTAGGGGTGGGCTGTAGCTCAGGCGGTAGAGCAGGTCATCTACTGATCAGAAGATTGGTGGTTTGATTACTGGCTTCCCCCTAGTCTACATGCCAAATATCCTTGGGCAAGATACTAACCGACGCATCCATTGGAGTGTGAATGTGCATGAATCTTAGATAGGCACTAACAGCTTAGAAAAGGTGCTTGTGTGAATTGGTGTGACTGGCCGAATGAATTTGTTGTAAAGCTCTTTGAGTGCTCAGAGTAGAAAAGCGCTATATAAGAACGAGTCCATTTACCATTTAGCAGAGTTCAGTTTGATCACAAGTGGGACTACAAAGACCAGTGAAAGATAATGTACAATTAATATTTAGTATTCTATATATGTTGAAGGACATTCTCAAAACGTCTAAATACTAAACTACTTTGGACGTCAGTTTGCCTTAAGATGCAACTACTGCTACAACTTTCAATAGCTCAGTTTTCTTGGTTGCTTTGGTTGCCCGAATTGATGTCCTTATTCAAGACTAGCGAAATACTTATTGTTGAAATATGTTAGTTTAAAAGACTTGCTGTTAGACTGAACTGCTGTATTCTTGTCAGTTTACTTTGCTTTTATGGGAAAACAGAAAATGTTTTTATAGAAAAATAACATTTTTTATGTCTGAAGAAAACTTCAATTACACTTGAGGCCAACTCCAAAAATTAGCCAAAATTCATTAGCTAACATCTTGTCAATCATAAGTCATTTGCTAATAACTGCAATTTAACACTTAGATCCACCCATCACCTGTAATGCAGTGTTTCAACACACCAAGATGGTAAACGCAAGCTTGGGACGGGACTTTTACTAGAGTAGGATGTCACGACAGCTATGTCTTTTATCTATCTGTACTGTAATAATGCTTGTGGCTGGCCGACACATTTCTACTACTGTTTGTGAGTAAAAATATTTTGTTTTCATACTATTTGGTATTTGAATAATATCAACATTAGCTGAGATTTGAATTTGAATGCTAATCAATAAAATCAAAAATCAAAATCAAATCAATACATCAGAAATAAAGCAATGGACTTGTGTTAAATATTTTGGGATATTTAAAATTTTTACCCCTGATTTATCACAAAGGTTCTGGATGGCGCTCATTTGTAGTGAGTGTAGGCCATCAACCCGCTGTTTACTACAGCTTTTAAAATGCCGGCTGTAAAGCGTCCACATCTATTTACTCAGGAGGAGGTTGTAAAGCTTTGTGAAAGTAGTCCGATATGAGTCGATGAGTCAGTGAATCTCACTTCTGACCAATGACAGCTATACTGAGGTGAGATTAACCTTTCTGCCGGTAAGCACTCCTGCGTTTGCCAGTGTTACCTGGTATTACTGAAAGCTTCTTTGAAATGGATCAGTTGTCAGACTCTAACACTAAGCAAATAGCCTCTCATACCATTTAAGAACATAATCAAGTTGTTTATCAGAGGAAAAGTGTTATTTATACACACTCAAGCCATTAGCTGACATAATATTAGCCTATATCCGGTAGTTGTTATCGGCGGCTCATTGTCAGCTGCCCAGAGATGTGGATGTTGGATGTGTGATCTGCTGACATGAATCATATAAATATGCCTGTCGACATACACATTCCTATGCTAGAGCCCTGACTTGAGTCCAGGAGATCAGGCTTTAGGTGAAGAGGATGAGATGGAGATAAGAGAGGAGAGAGCGTTAGTGGAGGGTGTAGAAGAAGGAGGAGAGGATGAGAAATGTATCATAATTGGCACTTCACAGTAGTACTCAGGAATCTGGAACGTGCTAATAGAAATACAGTGGGATACAGAGAATTATACATCTATTATATAATTTGGCACTCCCCCACTTAAAGTCACTTCTGACTCTAAAAATAAAATTACATTAAAAATAACAGCAGGAGCCAAAACAACAACTTTGTGGCTTTAAAAATCTAAGCAGAATGCAAAATTAATGATGCTGGTTGTATCTGTCTTTTCTATACGGTCTATGGAAACAACAGACAGACAACAGCACCTGACATTGATAAATTTTATCATTTGTTCAGATAATTAGTCAACGCATCCCATAACAATACTAACAACTGGAGTTCACCAACTCAAATGAACGTGAGCAAGAAACCATGTAGATAATGGTTTATTTATGCTAAAAAACAAGATACTAGTATAGCTTTATATCCTACATATCTTTCCATCCCGTTCCCTCACCCGGCTGCAGCAGATGCAGAGTTTTTTCCTTCCCTATGTGGCCAAAGGGTTGCTCATAGGGGGTCATCTGATTGTTGGGATTTTCTCTGTATTCTCTGTATTATTGTAGGGGCTTTACCTTACAATATAAAGCGCCTTGAGGCAACTGTGTGATTTAATGCTATATAAAAAATTTTGAACCTAATCGAATCGCCTTTAAAAGCTAAAATATCCCAAAAATTTTAAAATGGTAACTTCAAGGATAGCATAGTGTTTATAAGTTTTATATAAGACACTTTCAACTTTCGTTGTCAAATTTAAGATAGATTTTGTATGAGGTACTACCAACAGCAGTTTAATAACACCGACTCGTCAAATAGAAAAGTCAACAGAACCCTGAGCAAACACCGACAACTTCAACTTATTTATGGCAACTTTTTCAGCTGTAAATGGTTAAAAATCCATTCAAGTGTTGCTGCTTTTCACTCACTTCCGCATGTGAAGCTGTGCCACTTACTTACTGTAAGATTTTAATCGCAGGCCTGCTACTTGTACAGTAACTGAGTACAGATTTCTTTATGTTTTAAGGCCTAACGTCGCTACCTGCTGACAGTTTTTCACGGAAATAATCTGCTAAAAGTTTATCATTAAAAGTTTTACTTCTTCGAAGCTCGCTAACTGAGGCTAAGCTAACCTAAAGTTACATCCGCCCAGACCCCCACCCACAGCAAAATAACCTGCTTAAAAGTATTTTAACATAAAGATAATGACAAAAAACAAACTTAAAAGACGCGTGTGTAAACTTTATAAATAAGAGGGTTAAACGTTGTAGTTTACCTCCCAAAAATATAAAAACAAAAAAACAACGTACCGGTAACTTTGGGCAGAGATTTAACAGCGAAGCTAGCTTAAAGTTAGCTCAAGGAAATCATTTGTTTTGACAACTACCGTATAGGAGAGTGAGCTGTCAGCTCACTAACAGCCAGTTTTAACTCCGGAAAGATGAGCCCAACACCTCCCGGTGATTTTTGTGGATATTTCAGTATTTACCACCGATAAATCGTTAACGTCACTTACAGCGCCTACCTTTTCAAGCCACAGCCGCTGGACTTGCTATAATGCGGTGCTACGTTCAGGTGCTTCCTGTAAACTACCCCTCCTCACCCGAGGCGGAAGGCGGAACTATGACCCATGTTATATTCAAGTTCCTCTGTTTTTATTACTCTTCATGTATAAAAACGTTTGTTAATTCTAACTCGCTTTAATTTAGTTAACATCACAAAAATATATAAATTAAAAGTTATGGTACATGAGTTTTTATTCATTATTTATTTAGTTTTTATTTCCGGTTTTAATTTTAACAAAATCAAGCTTTGTGTGGAAGGTATGTGAGAATTTTTATGGCTTAAAAATCACCACGTTCCTGTACTTAAACCAATCACTGTAAAATACAATCTTTATTAATCTTTCAGTCTTTCTTTTATTAGTCTTTTATTCTGTAATTGATTTAAAACAACACGGCCACAGGTAATAGGTAATGTATTCATTATTTTAAAAAAAAAAATCGTATTAAAATAACACTGTATTACATTATAGTTACATTACAGTGCAGGTGTAATGTAAATTCTTGTGCAATCACAAAAAACAGGCTGGCACTCAAAGGTCTGCTCGTGCCGGTTATGACATTTACATCACTGAGAAATTTTGCATCTGTAAGAAATGCTAATTTTATATTTTTTAATTTTATATTTTTCTCAGAAAAATAGGAAAATTTGCTTAACATGATCAAACACCCAGTCAGGCCTTCACCTGTCCAAGCCTATGAGGGAATCATGCTCACCACATTGGTGGCTTTGCGCAGTGACATCGTCACAGCTTGGAAACATTTATAGGAGTAAAGATTTTTAAAGTTTCATCGTTTCAAACTGTTGCAACATCTCTTTCATTAACATTGCAGTAAATGCCAACACGATCATAAACTTGTGTCTTTAATTTGGCTGTGGCAGCAGGGGCACTTGCTAAAATGGTAGGAAACCTGGGAGGTCAGCATGGCCAAAACAGTGCAGCTAGTGCCTGCGGATGTGACGTCACTTTGTCTTTGTCGTCACTTTGTCTCCCTGCAACAACCAGGTGTAAATAGGTTCTTATATTCACCACCTGAGCTAGAGCACAAGCTTATTTCTAATCCTCTGCTCAGTTTTCAATTTTCAGAGCTTAGTTTCTACGGTCTTTAAACATTTTCTTTCTTTCTTCGAGATTTGTGGTTAAATTATGTCTCTTCTTTCTGTTATTATTCATTGTGTTTTTTGTCACAGATTTTTTAAAATACATGTGTCTAAAATAGAAAGTAAAACAATTTTATCGTGATCAAACAAAACCAGGACAACAGAGAAGTGGTTTCACCCATTTTTGGTTGAGAAGAAAATGATTTAAAAGATAATCTAAAACAGTCCCTGGATGCACAATCAGAGGTCATCTTAGCATTAAAAGGTACAACATAGAGCCACGTAATCGAATTTAAAACTGATATTTTAGGTTAGCAGTAGAGATTTGCATTAATAACCTGGCTCCAGTTCGATAAAATGTAAAAACCACACATAGACTGACAGATTTTCCTCAGTGATCACCAGAGGGAGATAAAGTACACACTGAGGGTACTTTTGTTTTTCTTTTTAGGGTCACTGCAATGCTCATTGTCAAGGGCCATTTTACATGCTTTAACACAACCAGAGAGCGTCCTGGTGTTCTCTGCTACTTCAGAAATCTCCATGGATTCATTCACTCCACACTTGCTGACATTGCCATTTGAGCAACGAAAAAATTAGGAAAAGATTTCAAATTTAAGGCACCTTTAAAATGAGCAATTCAGCCTGTAACGTGCTACATTTTTTGTATCTGTTTAACAAAACATGTTAAATTTCATTGTATATGATTAGTATTAGCCACTGAATGCGTGCCCTCCTTGTTTAATCTATAGACAACATGGATGTAACACTGTGAAATCGCTCATCGCTTAATGAAATCCTGTTTTGGAGTCTCATGCTGATAGTTTTTGCCTTCGTTATCTTTGCTAACAACTATACTTTATTTACAAAACAAAACTCCCTGATATAATATTTTATTCAATATGACCTGAAATGAGTGGCTAAGGCAGAAAATGATTATTTACTGCAGTAATAGAGCAAAGAGTCCAAACTTTTTTCCAATAGTCTTCTGTGCAAACAGATTTCTTTTTGCAACTAGAGGTGTTGCCCCCTGCTGGTCATTAAAAATGCCTTTAAAAAAGTTTTAAGTCATCCAAGAAATAACTAAGTATATTATAGTATACTATACAAGTTCTTACACCAATCCAATCTAATTTGTTTCCCTTGACCGCAGTGGAAAACAGCGTGAGGTCAGGGAAGAGCTGTTCTGCTGTGTCGAAATGATCAGACTCTGGTCGATAATGAGTTAGGAATTGGATGTGGACAGTTCATAAGCTTGTAAAAATAGCCATGTAGATGAGTATGAGTGAATATGCAAGCTGGTCCTCTGTATTATGTCTTTAATAGGGATAAATCTGTTTGTTTGGTTGGCCTGGTCAGCACTGATGTGCTGGAGGTGAAGGGAGACCTCGCCAAGGGAAAGGCTTGTCGACTTTCAGCGATAATGCAGCAGAAAATGAGATAATTACAATGCGAGGTGCTCCTCTATTACTCCGTCCCTCTGGATGGCCTCGCTGTTTTTCTCACTTCACATGCATTTCATTGCTTTTTGATCTCATCAGTGCTTTTTGGGGGAAAAAATCCTCTTTGTTGCTCCCTCATGTTTTTTCCTCATCTGCCCCCATTTATTTCTCTCTCTCTCTCCTTCTGTATATATGTTTCTCTTAGTCGCTCACCCATAGCTAACCACAGGGATTGATGCCAATGACGATGTGCCGCTTGTCTCCCAAAGATAATCCCATTAAACTCAGGAATTTAATTATAGATTATCTCACACTCTCGCACACACACAGAAGCGCACCCAGAGACGTTCGCACAGGTGGATGTATGCACCTGCCCGATAATACTCTTGCATGCAGGCAAAGACACACCATAATAGACAACCGTGACACACACTGAGCACACACTGGCTTCACCCTTTTGCCCTATCAATGTGTATCAGTGTCACTCTCAGCATTAGCAGCGTCACCGGTCTGTTTTTAGAGCAGCAAGGACACAGCTCAACACGATTCTGCACAGAACAAAGGAAGAACAATGAAGTTATGGTGAGCTCTGTCCAGAACGCAGTCACAGTTCCTGTAAACTCATCAGTTTAGAAGCATTTTCAGGACACGACGGTGGATTTGTGCCGCAGGCCAGAATTTGATTTGGTGAAAGTAAAATTTTATTGGTGAAAGATCACTGGAGTCTTTGGTTACACCACCATAACTTAACCAAGTTACAAACAAATCAGGAAATATCACACAACACCAGTGAAAATATAGAGATATAAGTTTTAGTTAAATCATGATTACAAGTTAATATGGAAAGCACCTTCGCTGTGTGGTAAAAAGTGGATAAATTAGCGTGTACGTGCATTAAAGGGACAAAACTAAAAATCAAAACAGAAGAAACAAAGCTGGTTAGTTTCTCAAGAGCATTTCTTTCATCTCTCATTCTGTAAAGAGTAAACATGCTTTTAGCCTTCTGCCCTACACATGGATATCTACTAAAGAAAAACATCTGCTGGGTAAAAATGAATAGGATGCACAAAATATGAAATCCAGGCAATTCATTTTCTTTTTTACAGACTCCCAAACAATCAGTAAATTAGCTGCTGGAACTGACAGCCCTCATTATAAACAGCTTCAATTTAAGGCTCGGGGTTTTATCCAAGCACTGAATCATCATAAATTTAGGTTATATATGCTTAAATGCAGATTTTTGGTAATTACGCTCTGAAAACTTTACATTTTCACCACCAGAGGGCAACATTTTGCCAGTCGGTATGTTGCTACTGTTCTTTAATTTCTTTAATTTCTTTTTTAGTCCTTCCTCATGTCCCCACAAGGATTTTCCCGTTTTCAGGCAAACATTGTAACTAACAGTTGATGTGTTTAATGACTCGCCTGGTTAAACAGGTTAAATCAGTATTACAGGAAAGTACAGCACGGCCATAGTTCAACTTCACTCGATATCTTTTTAGTGCAACACACAATTTTTGCTTGTTATGTCATATTTATCTCCCTACAACATGAGCATTACACACACTGAGCATCATGTCGTGTGAGTATAGTGGAGAAGGCTCAATTATGTAACCATATATACATCAGCTGAACCCCACTGCAGCACCAGAGAGAGGCAGGGAGACACGCAGCGCGAGAACCGGTGCTGCCTTCATCTATTTTTACCTCCTCTGTCAGGCAAAGAGCCTCTGCACCCCATCCTCATCCCTCCGTCCATCTCCTCCTTTTTAATTAACCCTCCTCTTCCTCTCCCCATCTCCCTTCTGAGTCATCTCCCTCCCTTCCTCCCTCTGACACACACTCGCACATATATATCACCCCCTCCTTCTCTCCTCTTCTCTTCCTCCTCCCCTCCTGTTTCTCTCTCTCTCTCATCGCTCTGCCTCTCCAGTATTTTCTCAGTCGCCGTAAAAGGCAGAACTCACTCACACACACACACACACACACCGGCATCAGGTAAAGGCAGGAAATCCTCTCTTCCTCTTTGCATCTTTGTGTTCCTGCATCACTGTGATTGCGTGTCTTTTCTGTGTGCTGCATAGCAGATACAGAAGGTTGTGCACGAGAATGAAATGCTTCAGTTTTAGGTCTTACTGCATGTGTGTGTGAGAGGTCGTAGTCCAACTGTGTATGTGTGTGTGTGTGTAAGACCGGAAGTCATGCATGTGTGTGCATCTACTGAAAGATGTGTGTAAGCGTCAGTTTTAGATGTGTGTCTAAATGTTGCATTGTTGTGGCTTTCAAAAATGTGTGTGTGCGTATACAGGAGGAAGGAAATGATGTGTATTTGTCTGTGTGTGTTTTGGCAACATGCACATAATCTGTGTGAACAACCTCTTGCAAGAACGCATTGGTTTGATGT